ACAGCGTCCGTAGTCCGCTTCCGGTTTACGGAGGGCACGGGCGAACCCGGCGTGGGTGCGGGGCTGCGGGTGAGCGCCTGGGCCGGGCCGCGGCGGGCGGCGGGTGGTGCCGCTGCGGACCTCGGAGGCCGCGGGGCTGCCCAACCTCCCTCTGTCCAGCCCCGGTTGAGGGCGGCGCGGCTCCCTGCAGCTGCTCTCGCGGCCCCGAGGCCCTGCCTGGTCGGGATTCGGAGGGGCCGCGCCGCAGTGTTCAGGTAGGAGCGAGGCTGATCCCGCCCAGCCAGGCTTGGCTTGACGCAAGGGTGTCCACGAACCCGAAGAGGTCTTGGGCCAAAGCAGAAATCTCTGAAAAGTGAAAGTAATCATTTTAGAGCAAGCCTAGGACACTCACTGAGGAGGAGCAATGGGGTCCTTTCTGTTTATGTTTCAGAGATAAAAGAGGAATATGGACCTTTCTTGCTTTCAGGGGATCAGTTAGATGGAGACGCTTTAGTAAACATTTGCACTGTAGTGCCATAAATGCACTAATGGAGTGAACAAATGCAGTAGCTAGAAAGTTATGCAACCTTAATGATGCAGCAGAGGAAACGAGACTGAAAATGTAAACTCGGTCCAAGGAGGATAGATAAATGCACAAACACCCAGTAGAATATTTAGCAGACGCTTGATGCTGCCTCCTGCCAGTTGTTTATTCTTTGCTCCAATCAGGTGATCTTTCTCGTCTCTGACAAGTCTAGCCCATTTTCTGCAGCTTTGGACTTCCAGGTATATCTCCCCAGCCTGGGTTCTCACCTGAACCTTCTTGGACATAAATAGAACTCATCCTCTAGTGTACTGCAAGCTTCTTCTTTCTCTTGAGTACTTGGACTTAGGTTAATTTTCTCTCTTTTTGACTTCCCAGTTTCTTATCTAAACCATGTTTGTTGGGAGTCAGACACCATCATTTAACCTTTTTACCATCTGAAAAGTAGGGGGAGTAGTATTCACCGTACCAAATTTATTTATTTATTTTGTAAAGATGAGTTCTCACTGTTGCCTAGGCTGGCATCAAACTCTTGGGCTCAAGCAATCCTCTCGCCTCGGCCTCCCAAAGCACTGGGATTACAGGTGTGAGCCACCTTGCCCGGCCCGAATTGTTGTAAGTATTAATGAAGTATGTGTTTATATGCTTTCTGAATGGTAAAGCCCATACAAGTTAGACATTTTTTGGTCATTTATAATAATGGCATATATATTGCTCCAGTGACTTCTTTAGGTTGAGTACAACATCAAAGCCAAGCCACCAGCAAGTTTGTTATCTCCAAAATATGTCGTTGGTTTTGTCTGCTTCTTTGCCACTTGGTCTAAGCCCTTGCCATCTTCTTCATGAACCACCCTAAGTACCATTTTCCTCTTGCCCCTCTGATCTATTCTCTATTGACACACAAGCAGAATGACTTTTGTAATGTGTAGCAGCATCTTACAACCTAAGAATATAGCCTATAATTCTTACTGTGAGTCAGGCCCTGGGTAATGATCTGGTTTCTGCCTGCATCTGCCACTTCTAGCTCATGCCTGCCTTTCACTGTGCTGAATCCACACTGGACTTTGGCTTGTTCTTAGACATGCAGAGTAATTTCTAGCCTCAAGCCGGGCTCGGTAGCTCAGCTTGTAATCCCGCACCTTTGGGAGGCTGAGGTGAGTGGATTGACTGAGCCCGCGGGTTCGAGACCCGCCTGGGCAGCGAGACCTCATCTCTGCAATAAATCAAAAAATCAGCCGGGCGTAGTAGCGCACGCCTGTAGTTCC